CGGAAATCCGTCGGCTTCCCACACGCAGCTGTTGCCCGCGTCTTCGCTCGATAGCGGTAAACCCACGCTCTTGCCTGTAGCTCGAGCCGTCCCTACGGACCACAAACTTCGCCGACTACACGGCGTACTCTCTACGCACTCTGGCGCTCACTTCCGTCTCCTCCTGTTCTGTCACTACGGGCAGAACCTTCGCCGACTACACGGCGGAATTCCTACGCGCTCCGGCGCTAACGTTCCGTCTTCTCCTGATTTCTCGTCTCGGCCGCTCGGTTAAATGCCTTGCGCGCGACTTTCCAGATCTTTCTCGTCATTTCGTCGGCGCGATACGCAGCGAAGGCTGGGGAGAGGCGAGACGTTTTGTCTGCCCTCCGCGTCGGATGACTCAGCTCGGTCTGACCCCGCCCCGTTCGTTCTGGAAAAATCGCGGGCTTGCTCGGCCGCCGCTGTGGGGTGAGGAGGATCGTCTGCGAAGCCGTGCTTCTGCGGGGAGAGCGCGCGCCCGGGAGTCCTGGATGTTTGCTTTCTTTTTTTTCTTTTTACCTCGCGGCGTTTCGGCCGCCCGTTGTCGCAAGGATTTGGCGGCGCGCTCTTGTTTAGCGCTCGTTCTGTGACACCCTCCTCCTTCGGTACGAAGGCGAGCGTCTCTGACGGCCGCCCTCTGCAAACACAGCAATGCTTAGCAGCCGTCATGTCACGTGATGGAGTGGTACGGAGGCGAGCAGTCTCACGCAGCGGCCGGTTGTAACACAAGACAGGAGGCATGGCCTCCGAGATTGCGTGCTGGCAGAAAGCTCCCAATTGAAAAGAGAGCGACGTTCGAGGCATAGTTTCTCTGGGAAGCATTGGTCTTGACTGGCGTTGGGTTTTCACTAGAACGTTTCTGTTGCAGTTACCGGGCGCACAAAGCTTACTGCAATCACTGCACAGTCTTCGTTTGCGAAAAGGGTGCGCTTTCCAGACATAGTGAAGTAACAACTTAGACGCTTATTCACATTCATCTGTACCATTGAGTTCGTTTTGTGCATCATTTATGCGTGAGAAACGCGGGACACAAAGCTTCGCCTTTGCGGCAAAGCTTTGACTTTTTTATGTGAAAAAAAAAAATGCTGAGAACCAAGTTTGCAAAAATAGTCTAATACCAGGAATTTTTAGGGGCATAATTCCACAGACCATGCTTGAAAGAAAAAGTAAGAACCTACTTGAGAAATCGAAACTTCCAGATCACTATTTGAAAAGCTGTTTTGCTAAATGCAACTTTTCGAACACTCGAAACGAAGAAATGGTGAGATACCCTGGTGTACCAGATATGATGAGTTAAAACGCATACTTCTTGAATCATTTCTTTAGCGCCAAGATGTTTGAAGGATGGAGACATTCAGCCGAGTCAGTCATACAACACTTATGACTGCATGTGAGCAGCTGCTTAACAATAGCAACTTCACAATGATCAAAACGGTTAGAAATTGCAATGCTAACGGAATTGGTATATTTATTTATTGCTTCCTATTTACGTTAATAGAAGAAACGTTTGGCAATAGCGTTGTTAGATGAAAAGGGGTACAGAGGTTCTGCTTTCAACGGCAAACTTCCCTTTTCCTGCAGCACGACGCGAGTCTGCACTCTGGTACCTCCTCTAGCCATACGGCATCGTCTAGTGGAGTGCATCTGGTAAACACGCTTATTCAAACGCGCGTACCGACGTCTGCACTAAACCACGCATCCACCTTAACGTCCGTCACTCGTGCAACTTTCGTCACTGCACGCTATACTAACGCAGGGGCTACCCGCTCTCCACGTCTGAGAACAAAAAGTGCACTCAAGGAAAGGTGCATAGCGATAGACAAGTGCCAAGCCAGAATTGCTTTCAGAGAAAGGTTACCCAATGTTGTGAAGCCAGTTTACTGTAGTCACCGTGAAGAAAAGCTTCCAACTGGCCTCGACATGTTACGTTAGTTTTAGGGGCCGAGAATCTTAGGACCACACGTTGTCCCTCTGTGAATGAACCAACCAAGCAATCTAGGAATGCTTAGAGGGTCGATCTAGGGATGAACCGTCTCCTAGGGTTGGCAGCACCAGAGCCAAGTTTGGACTTTTTTTTTTGCCGCTAAGACGCACAGGATTGAATGTCCACAACGCGTAATGGTAACTGAAAACAGGACTTTGCAAAAAGAGGCCGCCATGTTTTCACAAGAAAAGTCTAACTTAACATTTGACGATCCTTTCCTGGTAAAGGCTCGGAGGCTGTTATCGGGGTTTTAAAGACCAATGGCAAAGGACTGAAGGCTTTCTCATTAGATGTGAAAGATTTGTATGATTTGTTGTTCAAGGATCACTTGCATCCACTGGAACTTACGCATGAGCTACTGTCTGGCGATTCGATTATGTTTTCAGACCTGACGCTCTGCTTTCGGAGCGATCTGTTGTACTGGCTGTTCACAACGAGAAGTTGAAAAACCCCTTTCAACTTTCCACTCAGCTCATTCAAAAGTAGTGAAAAGGGGTATTATTATTGCTTGCCTTGTTAACGCTGTTAGGAGGTCATGCCCGCACTCGATGCAATCGGCAGTTTCAAGGCACAGGTAGAGCGCCTCTTAAGAGCTGGTTACTCGAACTCTCAGATTTCTGCTGTTGCTGAAAAGATTTTGAAGCAAATCAAATATCAAGGAAGGCAATCTCAGCCTTAAAATGCTTCAGTTCCTAAGAACTGTGTTGCAGGCTGAAAAAAAAAATCGGAAAACGCGCTGGCATCACTGTTGTTTTTACTGCTCCAAAAAAGCTATCAAATGCTAGTAAGACGGTGAATCAATAAGCAGCAAACATTGTAAGATCATCTGTAAATGTAAGTTAGTGAATCAACCAGCTCTGTAAAATGTAAAGCTCTGTAAGGTACTCTGTAAAACACAGAACGCGCTTTGTTCCTTGTGTTACTGGTGTCGTGTGTTTTCTTCCGCTCTCCTGTAGTAAGACATTCATAGAGCAAAAAAAAAAAGGAGCTTGAATCACCGCTTATAAGAGCATAATAATAATGGGCACAATGGGGTTCAAGGTCACGTTGGGATTTACTGCCGCCACTGCGGCTGGATGCCCCTCTTTGAGCGTTGTAACTTGCGAGGTAATAGGCAAGCGCCACTCGCAGCCCACACGTGAGATAATTGAGGCCTATCACATAAGTAAGTTTGACGGTAGATGTGTAAGTTCACCATCAGTTGCGCTATTTCAAAAAGAGATTGCGTATCTGAACCATTTTTAAGCTCTGTACTGGTTTCCAGTTCAACCAACAAGTGACAAGAGTTTTGCTGCTACTGTAGAGCTGTGGTTGTTAACTGCCCCTTCTATGCATGCCCTTTTTTTTTTTCACACATATATGTACACCACTCCACTGTTAACTGGTTGTCGAAAGTCGGCGCTGTGTGTTGTTACTATTCTGCGTTTTTGTCTGTTGTGCTGTTTGTATATACAGAGACGCTGCTTCGCCCCACCATCAGCATTAACTTCGTGGATGTGCGTGAATTTTGACTGCTCTTGACTGGAGAGTATTTGTTTTATAAAGTGTTCAACCCAGAAGGACATTTATGTTGCAAGATTTAAACCTTGCAAGAGAAAATGTTAAAACGTACGATTAGCGCAAGATATGCGTTCAGATAAATACAGGATTCTTGAGGCCAATACTGACCAGTTCATGAAGGTTTACAGTTGACAGATCGACTCCCCACGATCGCTCTTTTAAGTAAATCTTTCAATTCCTGAAAATGATTTTAACCCTAGTCATTCGTGACTTTTAAAGAACAGTTCCCGCATCTTGAAGGGCTTCACATAACGCGGAAGAATTGCGACATGTCACGCGAGATTTCTTCGGTGGCTTCGTCATTGCGGAACATTTATAGCATATGCGGTTGTATACATGTGGGCCTTGCAAAAATAGCTAGCGTACCATTTTACACTTACCGTCATTGAAGCACTAATCCTGGCATCGCAATAATGCATCTCTGTCTCGCTTCCTTTTCAGAGCTGCGCACCTCTCCTTGTGCTCCGGCTTCGACTGTGCTGCTTGTGCTGTAATGTGTACGCTCGGATTAAAAGCGACAAGTTACGGGCCTGTCCCTGCTTCGCAGTGTCGTTCTATGAACTTGTCTGCTCTGTTCTACAGACTTTTGCATGTGCCTTCTTCCCTTCGCATGTCAATTCACGTGTTTGTCAATGGCCTCTGAATCGACGTGTCACGCCACTGACACCGCTCGCTGCTACATACCAGTCTGCCGTACGCGCCTGCGCTAACGCTCCGGAATTGCCTTCTCCGTCGCTTGCTGCATCAGATCCTTGTTGCACACAAATAGCTCCACATCTCCATGTCATGTTCGCTTTATTTAAGACGTCACAGGTCTTAAACGTTTTGAGTGTGGAGAGGGGAGGAATGGCAGCTGCAGGAAAACGGAAAAAAAATTCGGAGAAATGACGTTTATTTCTGGCGCTGATGTATACATACATACATACATACATACATACATACATACATACATACATACATACATACATACATACATACATACATACATACATACATACATACATACATACATACATACATACATACATACATACATACATACATACATACATACATACATACATACATACATACATACATACATACATACATACATACATACATACATACATACATACATACATACATACATATATACATACATATTGTGCAATGAATTGACATAGATGGATATCACTGGCCAGCCACAAGGATGCGTCAGGTTGCAATGTAAGAAGTGCGAACAGTTTTATTGCTAACCATCCCTGCCTTGCATCTACACTAACGACGGCAGGACTTATTACTTTGTTATCATCGTGACTTGGCGTCCTTGTTCCCGATAATATTTTCCCCAAAAGTGCCATGTATCTGTTTCAGTATCTGCATGCACTTGGCTTGTAGCAGTCAACAGAAGTGGCCATCCCATAGGGATAACAGATGTCTCGCGCGTGTGCAGACCAACTACCAGAAGGAGATCGAAGAGATGGAGCTGCTCAAGGCCAACAAGGAGACCATGCCCGTCAGCACGGTGCAGCCGAACGTGCTGCAGGCATTCATGGCCTTCTTCAAGGTCAGTTCACCTCCGTTCGTGGACGCCTCGGCATTTATTGAGCCACCGCGGTTCTTCCAGATATATCAAATAGCGAGGGTCTACTTTCCGGACAACTTCTGTGAGCATCTCAATGTCGAGTCACGCTAGATGACTGCTCTGGCCAGACGAAATTCGAAGGGGAAAGAAACTTGTTTCGCTGGGCGCTTTATACGATAATTAAAATCAAGTACGCTTTTCTTCACGTTTAGCTTGGCCTAACCCGTCACGACGGAACTCGGAATGTAGTCCGCCTCGATGAAACAGTGGCTACGATGCTCGGCTGCTGACCCGGGTTCGATCGCGGCAGTCTCATTTCGATGGTAATGACATAGATGTCCGGTACTGTGTGATGTCAGTGCACCTAAAAAAGCACCAGATGAACAAAATTTTTCGAGCCCTCCTCTACGGCGTCTCTCATAACGTATTGGTTGTGGGACGTGAAGCCCCAGATAATACACAAAAGCTCAGAATATACTCGTGAATTAGGTATCGATGTGATAACGTCGATCCAGTGATAACACGCTACTGTTTATTCTTTTAGTGTCTGAGCGTTCAATTAAGTGTTCACTGCAAGCGAAACCTTCGGCATTTTTAGTTTGGTCAAGTTACGCCCGTGGGAAAGCCCGCTCACGGCATTTCGCGGTAGTTTTCTTCTTCATCAATAGCCGACAAAGCCGCCGCTACTGTAAAGCTGTTCGCTTTGCTTCTACAATGTGCAGTGAAACGAGTCTATTCCTACTCTTAGATGTGGGAAGCACATCTTCATCACTGCATTGACAACAAGCAGAGCCGAAATGCACCAAGTGAGCGTAATGTGGCAGTCACTCGCGGTGTCCGAGGTGTTGAAGTGTACTTCGTAATAGTAAAATCGACAACACAGAATGACAAATTTGGAAAGAGCGTTTAAACTTATTCGAAGGTGCTGCGGAAAATTTTCTCTTTCTTGCAATGCAACCTCAACGCCGTATCACTGACAGGAATTCAAAGACGCCAACGCCATATATAGTGTACCAGCAAGCTGTTTCTGTCTCACTCGTAAAATGTGTTGTTGATGGCGACCATGCTGTCACGCTTCGTAGCGACGGTTCAGATTTGCGAAGCGCGCTCCGTATTGACTGAAATGCCTTGTGCTAAAATTTTGCGTAAGAGAACATTTCAGCCAATCACGACACGGGACATCGGTCGACCCGTTGGAAGACAAACTTATGAAAAAAGTTTGTGAATCCGGTCGCAGCTGTTGAGCTTGAAGTGTGCGGCACTGAACGAGTAGAAGAAAATGGAACGAAAAATCACTTTTTGTAGTCTGTGTATACTCAACGGATCTCCTGCTATTAGGTTGTTGAATCATTTGCCAGTTCCAGCTGGGAAGTACAACGCGTCCTAGCATTAGCAGAAGCGTCGCAGTCATTCAAAGTACGTGACACCCGTGCTTGTTTTATACAGTTAGCTTTCGCGTTCACACCCCATCTCTTACCACGGGACGGCACCTACACAAAGACGTTTTCTGAAGCTGCAGATCGGGTAGCCCTGACTTTGAAATCAGAGCTGTATCGCGATGAAGCTGCGCTAGCAGCCGCACGTTGTTAAGATACGTTTCCGGTTGTCGTTCCACGGATTCATTTGTGTGTTTGCTTAGTCTGAAGAGCAAGCATGATATTGCGCAGGTGCCCGGCTTCAAAAACAGAATGGCACAACAGCGCCCCGAAATAGCGAACCACGCGAACGTTAGTCTCATGCGATACGCTAACAGGAGCTTAGCTTAAAACCACTACCAGTAAACGTCACCGACACAGTCTACCCAAATGCAGTATTAATCGGCGAATAAGTTCATTATATTCAAATAATGCTAAGAAGTCTGCAGATCCAGTTATAAAAAAAATCACTACTGCCTAGAAACAGCTCAAGTACGACAAAAATACTGCAGATCTCAGCATCACACTTGAGAACCGTATACAGTTACGGCTCAACAATTAAGAAATAGACATACACTAGCGTATTTCGTAAAATGCGTGTCCCACTCCGAGGAGTTCGACTCGCAAAGTTTTAACTTTCCCCAAATAATAGTAATCTTATCTCTCATAATAATAAACCATTTTTGCAAACGACATCAGGTTAAATGTCTAAAAAGGGAAGGTTACAGGTACGCCACGGCGCATGCCTCGTATCCTCACAACGGTTGTTGCCTGCAGGTCCGACTGCTGCTGTTCGTGCGAGCCCCGATGCACGTGGTGCCCCTGGTGGTGTTGCCGGTGATTATGGTGATGCTGAGCTACCTCTTCCTCAACAAGAACGAGGTGCCCATCAACAGGCTGGGAGTGTTCACGCCAGACTTCTACCCGGAGGCGAAAATCATACGAGGCTATACCTCGGCCAACAGAGAGAGTAAGCACTATAAAAGGAAGGTCTGGCTCCACTGCATCGCCGTCTGTATTCTGGATTTCATAGACCAGTCGTACAAGCAACACTATGTGATATCTTTATTGCAATAGCAAATAAATGAATGGTTTAGACGAATTTTTGTCGTCGCCGTTGCCGCCATGTAACACATTAAGTCCAAATTGATAAGATCCCCGTCGGATCGAACCTTCTATCCACGGGTAATCGCGCGCAATCGGAGGTGCTAAATCCGGCTTAAGCAGGCGTCAAACGAGCCTGCCCCCACCGGTTAGACCGGCCGTTGAATTCTCAAACAGAGAGCAAATACCTCACCCGTCTTTAACGATCGTGAAAATACGCAAGGAGAAGGGAAGGGGGGGGGGGGGTGCCCCTCGAGCCTCAACTGCTACCTTTGGTTTCACGAGCGTGCACTCATCCCTTGCACGCGAGTTATCTCGATATTTCGGCAACCGTCAGCGGGCGGCACGAATGCCCTTATACGTGGTGTGCTCTCAACGCGATGAGATGTGTCCCTGGAGAGCGGCCAACAGACAGAGTACGAGGCTATACCTCTGAAACAATACCTCTGAGCCTATACCTCTTAGGCTATACTTCTGAAACAAGCACTTCGTAGAGTTACGTGAAATCTGATTCAAAAGAGTTAGCTGCCAGCCTCCCTTTGTATAACACTGCAAATGGTTTCACCCTCGCAATGAAATTGCTTTTTTCTGTGCTGTTGTATTCGGTGTTGCCTCTGTAGCTGTACCGAATGTGGACCACTGTTCTGCACCCCTTAACGAAGTCTTCGAGGAAGCAGTCACGGCTTGGAAAAGTTTGTGGCAACGCCTCGCCTGGACAGAAGGATTTGTCACGGTGGAACTGGAAAGACATGCAAGCGGACGGAACGCTCGCGCGCCTTCTTAGTGAGGCCGTGTATTTGTCACAGTCTTCGAGAGTAGAACGCAATAGCGTATTCAGGCCCTGCGTGCATGGTCATCTTAATTGCTAGCCTGCTTCTGTTCTCAGCGCGTGCCTCAATCGCACCGTAAAGAAACGAACAAGCGTGCGTGTAACATCGCCTGTTTGAAACTATACTAGATTGTAGACTGCAAGTGCAATCGTTAAGTGCACGCTACGCCGTAATTCTTCCATTTACGAATCAATGAAGGGCCCAGTATACATGCCCATAAAGCAACACGCGAACATATGTTTGAGCGCTTTGTAATGGGTGAGCTTTTAGAACACCCACGCGTTGTGTAATTCACATATTGTGACGCCTGGCGCAATTCTACGCCTCTGCCACGGAGTTTTACATGCGTTCATTAGACCCCTTCCACCACATAACACTCATATTACGTGCTTTCTTTTTTTACATGCGGAGCATGTTATACTAGGGGCTAGTCATGCGCCGTCGCCGTCCGCAGCCTCCCCTCCTCCTCCGCCAGCCATCTGTGCATCCCTTCCTCCTCTCAACACAGCACGCACTGCGCTCGCTTCTACACTACGCGCCGCGCACGACCTTTTACGTGCGTCAGCTGTATACTAACGCGCGCATGCGCAGGCCGAGGCCGGCGCTCACTATAAAAAATCGAGTGTCGGGGCGCGCCGCCCTTCGTCGGTTGGTTTGTGCAGTCGTAACACGTCCGATGTCGTTGGTGAAAACGTATGCTAACGAAACCGCAAACACACCAGCGTCATCCAACCACGGTTCGCGGGATGTGCACCAACCACGTCTTTGCAAATTTCGACATTCGACCGCTGCATCCAGACGCACTCACCCTTCACTTTAGGGACCATAAAGCCATCTTGCTCAAAATACCCAAAACGTCTCATCAATATTGTCAAACAACAATATCATCAATATCAAACATCGTCTTTCGCAGCATACGTGCGTGCGTGTTCACTCGTGTTCACTCATAACACACACGCATATCGCAAACTACAAACCACATTTATTGCAGTTGCACATATATGCTCCGCATGCTAACCAGTGTTCCCACTCGTGAAACTGCAGTCATTTTTTCTCGGCGTCAGTTTCGAGCAAATAGCGTGGCTGTGTGGTATGTCACTCTGACGCCCTTGATTCGATTCTCACTCGGATTTTATCGGCAATTTTTTTCGATTTCTCGGTCGCAGATATGATAACTTTTTGCTCGCATCCAAAGACTTGACGTCAAGCTTTTTAAAGCTATCGCGTTGACAAGCAAAACGGCAAAATGGCACAGGACGGAGCTCGTGCTCCGCCTTGTGCGCAATTCTATATCTTTGACGCAACACAGCTTTTGGAAAATATGCGTGCGTGCGTGTGTGTGTGTGGGGCTGGGGGGTGCATGGGTTGAAATACGTGGCGCAAGGTTGACCAAGAGAAAAAAAAAATACCAGACAGAAAGAGCGCCAACCAATAAATCTAGCACGGCAGGAAGCAGAAGCGATCAAGTGTACGTAATCCTGAGCCTGAGTAGAAGGTAAAACAGACTGCAAAGGGCTCTTGTAGAAGAAATGAATAAATAAATAAATAAATAAATAAATAAATAAATAAATAAATAAATAAAGCTCATTCACCTTGCTTTACCTACAAACCTCTTTCAGTTAACAAAACTTATTGTTTGCACACTCTCATTCTGTGCAGGCGAACCGGTTCGACTATACGAGGAGGCGATGCGCAAGCAGATGATGAACATCTCTTGGAGAAACGGCAGCGTCACTCTGGACAACATCGAGCCCAACAGCTACTACGCCTCGGTGCCCGAAAACCTTGGCGGGGACTACAAGGTAAGTTTGCCCAGAGCTTTAATGTATACGAATGAACTTCGGCATTCCGGCAAGTTATCAATGGAACGAATCGTTGCTTATTGCATGTCGAAAATATAAAGGCAAAATCCTTCAGTACTTCATAAAAAGCGGAGTGGGAACGTCCAGCAATGTCAACAACACATGTGAGGCCAAAAAATCGATAGGCGCGTAAAGTGGCATCATCGTCAGCGTACAGAACCACGAGGGTATATACTTATAAAGACAAGAAGGCATTGATAAGAATGATGAAACTGATAAGAGTTGACAAAGTTAAAAATATTGATATAGTACTTAATAATGATCCAACACACGCGAGAGGAACAGCACAATCCCAAACAAAATGATGTCAGAAGTGACCGTCAGAAGTGACCTGAAAAAGGACCTTAAGCAGCTTGTTTTAGTTTCACTCGACAATCCGCGACTAAGTGCAGAAGATGTGCCGTGCATCACTCCCAACAAAACGTTATTACCCCAGATTCGTTAGGGATAGAACTTCACTGTTCTATAAGTATATTTTCTTTCCGTAGCCTTGGAATCAGTGACGTGAGAACAGCTTCCGAGAAATCATCTAGGCATCAGCTTCCTTGCGAGAGATTTGGCACGCATGAAGTCGTCCGAATAAGGCAACTGAAATAGTACTGCCAATGATGCCTCCACTTCATTCATATGAATATTTCATTCCAATCGAGCATTGACCATTGTGCCTTTTCTCGTGAAGTGTCGATTAATGCAAAATGTAATCTAGCCAAATGTTGCTGTATCGAGCTCCTTCTTGCGATGTACAGTGCCATCAAGTGTCAAAAAAGACTCTGGTGAGCACCTGTCAAAATGCGGGCCCCATAACTGCAAGTAGACGTAGACACATAGTTCGAGCACGGCGCTGCTCCATCGAAGAGAGTCACCTGTAGTAAAAAGGACCACCTGGAGTATTATGCAAGAGTAAGCCACTGTTCTTTCGCGAGACAGCAAAATCCGGACACGGTGCACACGAAAGTGTTCCCACTGTGAGCCCTTCTGTACACACAGCCCTTGCATCGATGACTCTTCATTCCTGCCCTTCGCAATCCGACATGCCTCCTTTTCCTTCTTCTCCACAGTACACGACCCCGCTGACTCTGCTGTTCAACGACTCGCACGTGCACACGCTGCCCATCCTCCAGTCGCTCACGTTCAACGCCCTTTACGCGTCTCTGGAGAAGGACGAGGCTGTGCTGGACGAGCGACGGCTGCGTGTCTCCTCTTACCCGTGGCCCCAGCGCGGCGTCGACAAGGTGTTCGACGCCCAGCTCTACACGTGGACCATGATGATGAGCGTGGTGCTCGCGTACATGCCCTCCCTCATCGCCGTCGAGGTAGTCGAGGACAGGCAGGTCAGTGTCGTACAGACACCGGGCAACTTTGGCTACAGCCTGAGTAGTTGTGGGCTTGTGCCGTTGCGTGGGTTAGCATTCTTGACCAATGCCCTATAACTGATGCCAGTCAAATTTTCAACATTAGCCGTTCATTAGAAATAGTCGTTAACGAGCGTATACAGTTTGCCCTTGCCGGTATTATGAGAATACGTACTCTATTCGGTATTATGATAATATATACTGTACATACATGTACCACACTGTAGGTATTATGTACGCCTTCGTACAGACGGATAGACGTTCCGACCAACTGAAGATACATCTGCATTCATTTAATCTGCCCAAGTCATAACAATTGGACAACACACTCTTCCTTTGGAGTGCCACGTATTCGTTGACATCCCTTACATCCGATTTTTTTTTTACGAATTCTATGGACGCATGAAACCTTCCAAGTCTGAGTACAGGTGGTGCACGATGTTAGATAGCACAAATGAAGAGCTGTGAAACGAGGTACGGTATGCGATAAATAGGGCTGACGTGGTCTCCTGGCTAATTATTTTTTAAATTATTTTCGTACTATATTGTCGCAGTACAACGCGAACAAAGCACAAGTACGCCTTGAGGCAGCGAAAGCAGCGTGTTTTCAACAGCTGAGCCACAAGATTTTCTTTGTTCTCGCGTCAAGCCAGAGGCCCACTACCTGGTGTCCGCTAAATCCCCCCATCATCGTTTTCGTCCACATGTAGACACGGGTCATTTGCCTCCCTCTCAAAGAGCATCGACCCGATGCGAAGTCAATAATGCAGTTTTTGTTAAAAGATAAGTTTCACGCAATCACTCGCTGACGTAAGGCTTCATGCGCACTACGTGAACGAGTTCAGGATGGCGCTGGCGACGCTTGGTACTACACGAATTGTCGGGAACAACTTCGTAAGTGACGTCACTCAGTTGTCGCAGCACTCGGTATGGCCCAAAGTATCTTCTTAAGAGCTTTTCTGATAGTCCTCGTTTTCGTACGGGTGTCCAAATCCATACTTTGTCGCCAGTTTGATAGACAACTGCTCTGCGGTGAGCATTGTAGCGGTCATATGTCTTTCTGTATTATGTTGTTTTGTGTTTGTGTGCGTGTGTGTGTGTCATCGCAGTGACAGTCCCTAGATTCTGTAGCGTGAGAATAGCTATTCCTTCTCAGTCCTCAAGATTTGCGGAGTACGCTGACGGATCAATTCGACAGGCATTCAGTTCGCCGCATTGGAACAGTGGCTAAGGTGCTCGGCTGCTGACCCGAGGGTCGCGGGTTCGATTCCGGCCGCGGCGGTCTCATTTTCTCTGGAGGTGAAGTGGCAGAGACCCGTCGTTCCTGTTGTGTTGGTGCATGTTTGTTCGACATTTCCGGAGCCCAACACTACGGCGTCTCTCATAATCGTATGGTAGTTTGAGGACGTAAAACCCCATATTATTGTCGCTAGACGTACAAAGGCTGGCATTTCACTGGTAAACTATACGTAATTAAACACCGGAACGATGCGAGTCAACGCAACTCTATATGACGCATCTCGTGTGCACTGCAGAACAAGGTGAAGAACCAGCTCCGCGTGTCCGGCCTGCTCTTCAGCGGCTACTGGTTCACGGTCCTGCTGAGTCACGCGGCCTTGTACCTGCTCTCGGTGCTGCTGACGGTGCTGGCCCTGGTGGTGTTGCGGGTGCCCTTCCTCACCGAGCCCGTGGCCCTGCTCGCCATCGTGGTCCTGTTCCTGCTCTACGTGCCGGCCTCGCTCGTCGTCTGCTACGTGCTCACGCACCTGTTCAACAAGCACGAGACCGCCAAAGGAGTGCTTCCTTTCCTCGCGCTGCTGGTGAGAAGAGATTGTTGCGCCATCTTGGGCTGGTGTAAACCGTAGAGTTTGCCGAAATTAACTAAAGGGCACTCTGGCGCTGCGATCGTTAAGCGACCGTGGCAATGATAGGAAGTGCGCATATTTGTGTGGTCTTCGCGCATGCCTGCTTAGAACATGCTTGTGCACTTGTTTGTACCCGTGTTTTTGGCTTTGTTTCAACATAAAATAACGGACTGTTGTGAGCTTGGTTAGTCGATTTGAAGTGTTGGTCCTAAAAGGAAAAGGTGGTGAAGGGTAACAGCTAAACCTTCGCTGATTGTCGTCTCGTGACAGAGCGGCTCCAGGCGACGCGAACCCAAACGAAGTCAGAAGAACGGCGGCTTGGCAAATGAGCTCACTGCCCATCATTCCCATGCTCACTGAAGTGCCATGCGTTGGTGCTCCCATAGCCACTAGCACCAGAGTTCCATCCAATGAGCATCATTAGAAACTATCCAGTTTAGACAGTGGACTGTACTGGTGATAGGGGCTCCTACTTCATTCAAGTGCCACTTACCTGTCTACTTTTGGGAATGTAGCTTATGGAAAATGATTATTTTAAAGGGAAGTTTTCGAGACTGACTTCTTTTTTTACCGACCATACAACTTAGGCCAATGGACACGTGCTGCTCGGTATGTGTCCGAACAGACAGCTTGGGGCATTGGGGATATGCGCAGCTGAGAATGTGGCACAAAATTGGGGAACAGTATGAGTGAACAAAGTGTGCGGACTGAAGCAAGAGACAAGAAACTAAACAGTCCGCCGCAAAAGCAATCAAACGTAAATACAGACAAAAGGAAACGAAATGAAACCAGAGCTCTCACCCGGCGAAAAGCATTCAGTTACAGTGGATTTTCTGCACAGCTCCCCCCCCCCCCCCCTCAACAGCTCAGAGCTTCGTCCTTTCAAAGTAACGATCAAGGTAATCATCAAAATTGCATGGTGCAATGAGGAGTTCATCAATAATGTTAATATGGTCCAGTAAGAGATTGTGTGTCTGTGGTTCTTCGTGCGTAAACCCTAACTCTCACGAATCCGCTCTCTCGCCACAGTGCTCCATGTTCCCAGCTGTACCAGTGACCATCCTGGACATGATGGGCTCCTCCCGCAGTGCCACGGCATTACACTACACCCTGTGTCTGTTGGTACCTTTCTACATTCCAAATGGCGGCCTCTACTACATCACTAAGGTGAGTAGCAACCTCTGAAGCGAAAGAATTAAGCAGTTATTGCATCTCGGCGATGGTATAAATTGCACTCAATACAATTATTGTTATTCTTATATTTCTAATTCGAACACACCTTTTATTAGGAATGAATGTTGCTTCTTGTTAATGTGGTGCACAGACATTGAATGCGTAGGCAATTTTTTCCTATTTCATATTTTCGGCCCGGCCAATTTACCTCATCGTTTCATTGCTGCAGCTGACAGCGTCACATACAACCAAAAATAAACTAACTACAGAGATGACAACACAGGGAACGCTGGCTGGCTTTTAGCGGAGTGTGCATCTTTTTTATATATATAGAAGCGAAATTGGTTGAAAATAATATGCGCCTCATTATCCGTGAAGAATCACTTTTTTCCTGCGGAATTCGGCTGCGCCACCACATTTTGTAGTATGCCACCTGACAAAAGCAGTGATAACAATCTGGCGCAGTAAGAATTCACAGAATTGGATCCTCATTTGCAGGCCGCCCCACTGATCAATTTCCATCACGTTGGCACAATTCTGACTTCTAGCTAAAAATGGTTCCACCCAGTGCTTATCTCAAACAAGTTCAACAAACTTTGTAAAGATGCTTTTTTGCATGCTAAAGCGCATTGCGGTAGTGCACGCTTTACAAGTACGAGGACCAGGCAATATTGTGTGCGGCCCGACTGAACCGAGGCGGTCCTTCGGATCGTCCAAAGCTTGTTAAATCGAGCCGTAACGCAACTGCTGGTTAGGGGCAAAAGCAAAAACTAAAAAATTCGCCTTCATTTCATCCCGTCTTGATAGCAACACCCAGTATTTTTTTGTTTTTCCTTTATTTTCTCATTATTTTTCCTCCCAGCCATTTTTCCGTTGACTTAAGGTTCGGCTAATCAAGGACACGCTGAAGAGCAACGCTAAACTGGTAGACCCTTGTAATAAGCTATTTCAATACTTATACAGTGATACTGCACTAATAACATCTAAATACTGTGCGACAACAAGACACACGGATGTGAAAGACGATCCAAAGGCTAGCTCTCTTTACTTCTCCGCCTTTGTTGAATGGTCATGGCTTGCTGGCTAAAAACACCACGTGACATTATATATTAATTTAGACCAGCTCAAGAGTCGGAACTATCGAAGTAAAAGGAGGCGAGAATGTTTATTTTTGAATATCTTGGTGTAACAGCACCTTTACACGTAAATGTGGAATTACAAATTCTAATGATATTTTTTTGTCATTTGGAAATTTTCTGATCGGAAATCGTCATATAAACTCGCAAGGTTGAATCTCATGTGATCTTGCGAAACGCAAAGTGATCTAATATTACCGATACACAGCGGATACGCGAGCAGCCATTCCAAAACATACACTTCTCACTGCGAGCTAGCACGAGAACTTCGCTGGCACATAGACACCAGCTTTCATGTTTTCATCCTTTCTCATTCTTGAAGAACTTTTCTGTCTTCGCAAGAAACAATCTTTTTTATTGCGCAAGCTTAAGCTAAAGCTTAATTCAAGCGAATGCATGAATGAGTTTTATTTGTGTACGCGCACACAGCTACTGACGAAGACACAGACGTGTATACTGTAGAGTTTAGCTTTGGCAGCACCTTGTCTGTAGTGTCTGAGGACAAAATAATAAAAACTAGACTTCTTTCTCTTTGTATTTCCAAGCTAACTTTGGCTACTTGTTAGGTAATTTTCTGGCCACATAGTCAAGCTTATTCTTCCTTTCCTCTCAGTAGTACCGTTATTCTAAACTGTATGAGCGGATAAACAGCTGAAATGGAAGAAATGATTTCGGCAGCGCCTGTCCTGTCAGCATTATTTCATACGTTCCGGCTGTTTAAAGCGTCTGTTCTGTCAACATGTTTCCTTCTTTTTCTGCTGTTTATGTGCTCATACAGTTTACAATCTGCTGCATCAACTGTTCCAGTATACTACCATCTTGAAGTGTACTCTCTCTCTCTCTCTCTATCTGAGTTTCAAAGAAGAGCACCTCGCTCCAGGCGCGCTATTATTCGAGTATATATTGAACAAAATAGCAGCCTTGTATGATCAGGTATGATTGTTGTCGTTGTTCGCAGACGTCGGTGATAATCGAGACGAGGCTTTCGAATGGGTACGATGCGGACCGGTGGATGTTCTTCGACTGGGACAGCAACATCCTAGTGACGTACGTGGCGTGCCTCATCCACACGCTGGCCTACTATTTCCTGCTGCGCATGGCCGACATCGGCAAGGCCGGGGGTCGCATGGCGGATGCCTTCTGGATCACGAGGCGCATCATCGACATCACGCCAAACTCCGACCTGCCCGAGAAGGAGGACGCCGACGTCAAGGCCGAGAGGCAGAGGGTCTCACAGATGGACATCAGCCTCATGCCAAAGGTAGAGTTACTACTGTAGTTCCTCGTGTTCCTCCATTCGTAGCTCGCCGTGTCCTCTGGAGGCGAGCTTAGGTACGCTAAACAATGACGCAATGATGGTGTGGCAGACAGAAGTTTTTCCATAATTGTCTCGTTGTACATTGTGCGAACACTTTTGTATCTGTCCTTTGCACTACCTACGCTGTACGCTACCCCTCGCTCTTCCTACGGTTTTGCGCTACCTACAGTGATACAGCTGTAGATCATTGTCAACCACCTCGGTCATAGTCTGTTCTATGTCAGGGGTGGTGGTGGTACAAAATGCAGGGGTCTGAGGTTTCAGAAGTCAGGTGGCCTGTCTGTAAAAGGGGAGAGGGTGGGGTCCTTATGTAGGCCTGGAATAAAATTCGGCAATGCTTGTCCGATCATATCGAGTGGGGTTAGGGGGGAGGGGGCTCGGGAAAAAGGGTAGTGTATTTCCGGGAGCAAAATAACGCCACAATTAGCCTTACCGCTGCTAACTTTCCTCGTAGCAGCGATGCTGTTGTAGCTCGCCGTAGTTTGCGCGGTGTCAACACACAAGTGGGTACGCGCCACCGTGTTCGGGCAAGTCCCACAACCGTGTATATATAGCAGGTGCGAGACAGGAAGAAATAAACACAAATAAAGGAAATTAATACAAAACACAATAAAAACACAGGCATGCAGAGAAATAGAGAAGAAGAAAGAAAGAAAACTGAAGAGAAAAATACAAATACAAGAAAGAGAGAAGCACAAAATAGAGAAGAAACAAGAAGAAAATCGGAGCAAGAAGGAAGATCACCTAGCTGCGCTTTTTTCTCAGTCTTCGTACAAATGCTGCGCAGAAACCATGGTATTTTTAGGTGTGATATAATATCTTAACTTCACTGCTCTCGACTTGTCGACGAATGCGAAATCGCTAACGGTGAGCGGTGTATCATAGCATACCGTGTTTACTCGTCTACTGCAAGCATTGATTAGGAGTGGCTGATTTTGGCTTGTGTTTAAATAACATTCAACGTCCACAATAGTATATAGAATGTAATGCTGGCTACTCGTACCTAAATGTTGATGAATTACTTCTAACAAGTTAGTTAATGGTAATGAAATGATGGATAACGTTGGATAATATTTCCGTTCAACCTCAATCCAGCGATATAGTCCAACATCTACGCAAAGACCATCACTTTCTTCTGCCGTCTAAATATAAAAAGCCCAAAATCTGTGGTTCGAAGCTGGTAGTACGTATAAAGAGCTTCGAGGCCGCTTATCGGGCATCACGCAAAATTATCCGTGTATATACCATAGTCGTATAGTACTCGCATAATAGCGTCGCTCGACGTATGACGTTTCAACGTTCGCCAAGCTTAAAATAGTTGTCACATTTTTTTTTCAGAAGTCCCCTTACTCTGTCTGCCTTACTAAGCAATAATGAAACTTTCTCTTGACCATAGTTTCTTATATATACACTACAGGAAACTCTCGCGCTAGTGTCTACGCAATCCAAGACATACGGCATTTCCACCAGCATGGGAATGATGGGTAATGCACAAATTTGTGCAATCTTCGTTCTTGCGGCTCCGTTTGGCCTGAATCAGCTTTGCCGCAAGACGTCTCACCAAATCAAATCGGCTCACGAAGTTCGCAACGGTCTGATCTTTTATTCGAAAAAAAAATAATAAAACACTGCAATTAACAAACCCACAAAGTGCGTTTGAAGCCCGTGGGTACGAACGCTAGGAAAATTTGTGTACTAACCACCATATTTAAAAGTGGCTTAATAATCGCTGCGTGAGAGTCGCTCTAGGTAATTTTAGGAAACTGTGCCTTTCACTACTTCTCATCGCACTCCTCTCAGGCACCATTTAAACTTTTCATTTTAAATGGCGCGTATTTCAGACGTAGACACAGGAAGCGTGGGCTTCCAAGAGCTGAAAGTCTAAGCTTCGTGCATCCGTGTTTCTAAAATGTTGTCTTCTTCGCACAGTTTTGTTATGTCTGCAAAACCGATTAACCTACTAGCCCAACAACAAGCATAGCTTCAGTAAATTTTTATGGCTTCCTTACTTACAGTACACGCCAAGTGCGAAGTGTACAACGTGCAAGTAGTCGGTCTACGCGGGATTATTTCCCTATAAAAGGGATTTAAAAAATGAACGACGAACATTTTGGCGATAGGTGATACATCACTGATGAGCGTTGGTCTAGCTTCTTCTTCTAGTGGTCTAAATTACAAAGGGATAAAATAAATAGCTTAATCTTGTACAACTACTTGATTTCTTAGAGATATATTTCGGCAACAGTTTTACACTCAGCTTGACCGATGGCTGCACAGCGCGGTCGGCGCAACGGATTGTTCATTGTTGTGTTCCTTGTAGCACCGTAACCCGTGGTTCCTGTCTCTGTTTCTGCGAAAAGCAGAGCCCGCATCAGAAGTCGCAGGGGCCCTCGAACAAAAACCGATAAAGGTACGCAGACATTCGAGCGGCTTCAGTCACCTACTTCCTGGTGCAGGTTCACGCGTTATCTGTTCTGCTCATCATCTTCTGTTCTGTTCATCTCATGTTTTTTTTCTACCATTCTAACAACAAGTCAGCAGTTCATCAGAAGTGCATGTCCATTCATCACTTTTAAGCGTGCAATGTTTGAGGCTCAAGCCTTGTTCTGAGCTATATTTTTAATAAAATAGCTGAAGAGAATGAACGTGTCGCAAAATTGTACATAGAGTGCGTGTGTGCGCGTTCTTAAAGAAAAAAACTTTTTTCTGTGCTATGTCTCAGAAAAAAAAGCTTGGGGTAGGACGAAGCGCACTCTTCCCAATAAAAAGTACCAGCCAAGGCAGCTGACAAGCTGCGGCATACTCGTATATGCCGGCATCATGACGTATAATGTGACGCCAAAATGAATGCGTATGTGGTATACTTTGATGAAGAGTAACCACTGCGGGCCGCGTAAAAGATAATTTATATAGCTCCACTTCCTTCCTTTTTTTTTCTTGCTGCTTAACGCAGTTACAGTCGTCGTTCCGTGAAGGCATGTAACTTACCGAAGCCACATGCCACAATGTCTGACATCGCAGGTGGTGCAACTAGTTCGAGCAATCTGACTTTCCTTTTCTGGCAGTAAAAGTTAAAAGAGCGCCCAGTCTTGATTGATATGTAGAGTTTAACGTCCCAAAACCACCATATTACTATGGGAGACGCTGTAGTGGAAGGCTCCGGAAATTTCGACCACCTGGGGTTCTTTAACGCGCACCCAAATTTGAGAACACGAGGCTACAACATTTCCGCCTCCATCGGTAATGCAGCCGCCGCAGCCAGGATTCGATCCCGCGACCTGCGGGTCAGCAGCCGAGTACCTTAGCCACTATACCACCACGGCGGGGCGAGCGCCCAGCCTCCCGTTTGAAGCTTTCTCTTCAGCAAATCGAAACTTAGCTAGATGATCTCCAGCGCGCACCCGAAACGCCACTCTATTTCTGCTGGCAGTGTACAAACTTGGTCGGGAGCCCTTTAAGTGCTTATCGAGTGTGCTTTATTCAATGGATTAAGCCACCTCATGTGACACAAAGTGCTTCGTGCTGTAATGTCGGCACAAACGAGTGGTGCCGACACTATCGTGCACCGCGCAGCCTCCGGTGGTGTACGTGCACGAGCTTCGCAAGGTGTACGAGGAAGGGGCCCGCTGCCGTCCGCGCAACCACGTCAAGATCGCCATCCGGAACCTGTCCATGGCCATCGACAAGGGCGACATATTCGGCCTGCTCGGCCCCAACGGTGCCGGCAAGACATCCACCATGAAGGTCATCGTGGGCGAGGAGAGCCCCTCCAGCGGAAGGGTACGACATCGCTCGAGGAGTGTTTTGTTTACTTCGCACGCCTATTCAGTATTGAGGAATAACTGTTCGATTGAATATGCGGAAACAAAGCGATCAAAACATATCTTCCCGGCGCACTTTTTTCACGCTGAACATCGGTGCTTTTTCTTGCTTGATCACGAGAAACGCGAGTCGACTCAACACGGCAGGCTGCATTGTACATAACGCGTCGAGTTGATCACGGGTGTCAAAAATGGCACTCGACAGGGCAGTGGTATTTCAGCTGTAATCAGATTTACTCATAGTTCTGAGATCTCAATTTTATTACTTCCGATTCGATTGTTCGCAATGTGCCGTTCACAGCCTGTGGACACCCGTGGCAGATATGTCACATACAGTCGCGCTCAGTATATTACTTGCAGTGCTGTGTCTGCACTCAAGGTGGCGCCAACACTGCAAAGTGGCGCCTACATATAAATAAATGAACTAAAACTCCCTAGTGATACTTTCTCAACAAATTCAACGTTTGTCGGTGTTATTGTTCTGGCTTGAGGTCACTAACCACAACCAGCGTGTTGCAGCATATATTGGGCGCGACTGCACAGTACAAATAAAAAAAAACTGTTGGATAGTCGCTGTAGTACAGGCAAGTAGTAACTTACTGAATGTGTAATGCGTAATATGTGGGTTCAACTTCCATCAACGCATCTTTTCATTGGTTTTTATATTATCGCGTTTTTTTCTTATTTTCATTTGAGGAGTGTGATCGTAGCGTCAGAGTATACATATATTAGGCAGTTTATGATGGCAAGGAAAAGCTTACCTGCAACACTGTGTGTGGCGACGTTGCAGGTCGCAGTGGGAGGCTTCGAGATCACGTCGAATCTGTGCCGGGCGTTCAAGATGTTGGGCTACTGCCCGCAACACGACGCCCTCTGGAACAACCTCACCCTCCGCGAACACCTGCGGCTTTTCGCGGCACTCAGAGGCATACGGTATGACGAGATCGAGCCCGTAACCAACTGGTAAGCCTACATTATGTGTTTTGTAGCGTAGATTAAAGGAAGCACTTATGCCCTGCTGAAGGTGCCCCTGCCCAGCAATGATATTTCCACGTGGTCGTGACGTTGACGAAGAGATCTGTCTGCGTCTTCAAGGTAAAACTATTTATCTGGCCTAACTTGTAACCGTGAAATGGGAGCTCAAATCACCGCAAGCAATGCACGCTGTTGACTGATGTGGACGCATAGATCGTAGGTCGTCGATAAACGGACAAGCGGGGAAGCGCCATAAAGTTTTCCAGCCTTATCACTGGTCGCATACTCTGGAATTAGCTCGAGTGTTCGCGTCAAACGCGCAATCTTGACAAAGTGATATACTAAAACGAAGCTTCTCGAACACTTTGGCGCTGTTTGTGCTGCATTGTTTGTGGTTGTAAACAGAACACAGCAAAACAAAAAAATTACGGCATATTCACGGAGTGAATGATGATGAATGGGCGAAGCTCCGGAGGGATTCATCGGTAAACTGTGAATCTTCCGTGTAATTCGCCCAGTCGATCATCATGTAAAGACGCGAGAAACGCTGTGTGTGTATATACACAAATCAACTTTTATTTGTTCTTAGACGATGGATGGCTTGCGATGTCCCTTGCCTCGCGCGCTCGCACATCGGGATTCTGTCTGCGAGCGCGCGCTGCTGCCGCCTTGCGCTCTCTCCGCTGTGCAGCCTTATCCATCCGGCGACTCCGAGCGCGCGCCAACAGCGAACGGATTTTATTACAACGCTCCCCCTAGTGTACGTCACCGCACTAAATCGAACGATTGCCTTCAACCAATGACACGCGCAATATGTGACATCATTCCTATTTTATAAGATCTCGCGTCTTTCATCAACTACAAGTACCGCTTTCTAGTTTATAACATCTTGCATCTTTTCATCATCAGCTACAAGTACCACCATCTAGTAAACACTACATGAACTAAACGAGGGGTGGCTACATACAGGAGACGGTACCGCCATCTAGTGAACACTGCAAGAACTAAACTGGAGGTGGCTACATACAGGGGACGGTACCGCCATCTAGTGAACACTGCAAGAACTAGAGGTGGCTACATACAGGCTACAGGGGACGCACAGCCCACGCCCTAAGGAGCTTCGCCCCTAAAAAACGCGTGTTGTTATATAGAGTCGGATACAACTTTATAGAAGCCTGAGGCATTTCCTCCTCAAAGGCAGTTGCGCACAAGCCTGCACCAACGGGCGCGCATTCAACGGTGACGTCATCAGCAGGAAGGCTGGTGGCCCCGCCCAGGAGATTGGCTGAGTACATGAGCGCAACTATTTCTTTAGTCGCAGGAGCGATTGGCTACCATGCCTCGGTCGTATGAGCGGCACATCTTCAGAATTCTTCCGTTGTATTCAACTGTAGTAAAAAGTATGTCGGTATTGAGGCATAGTTGGCACATGAATGAGCCCAAACAAAAATAGTAAATAATACTAGTCAGTCCAGCGTGTGTGTTGTGTACTCTTCTCTCTTGTATTCACGTTTTCACCATTTATAAAGTCATCACACTCCCTTCAAGTAATTATCGATGAAACAACGCACGTACGTGATTAGCGACCCAACGTAAACACTACGACAGCACTAATTAACAATAATGACTGATTCATAAGGCTACACCATCAAGCCCAAATTCTCAATAGTGCGAACCCTAACGTTATGTTAGCCTCAACCGAGATTGTGATTGTCGCTGTACACGGCTCTCGATCTCCCTTGTTCTTGGCAGGCTGATGGACAAGCTGAACATCCGCGAGCACGCGGACAAGCGTGCCAAGCAGCTGTCGGGCGGGACGAAGCGCAAGCTGAGCTACGCCATCAGCATGCTGGGCAAGCCGCGCATCGTGCTGCTGGACGAGCCCTCGACCGGCATGGATCCGCAGTCGAAGCGCTTCCTCTGGGACACCATCTGCTCGACGTTCCCGCAGGGCGGCGAGCGGGGCGCCCTGCTCACGACGCACTCGATGGAGGAGGCGGACGCCCTGTGCACCAAGGTGGGCATCATGGTGCGAGGCGCCCTGCGATGCCTGGGCTCCACGCAGCACCTGAAGAACAAGTACGGCGCCGGCTACACGCTTGACATCAAGATGCAGCGCCAGGAGGGAGCCTGGGAGAAGAACCTGGGCGACTTGAAGCAGTACGTCAAGCGGGTGTTCCCTACGGCCTCGCTGCGCGAGGGCTTCCAGGACCGGCTTACCTACGACATCCCGCAGGCCGGCGTCACGTCGCTAGCCAACGTGTTCGTCGCCATGGACGAAGGTGCGCTTACGCGGCTGTCGTACCTCTTGTACTACACTTTCGTTAGCTGCCTGTGTGTTTGCGAACAACTATCCCCGATACGGCTGTGGGTCGAACGATTACTGCAGTTGTTCAGAAAGGTATACCTCGGCGCCAACTGTAAGTGAATGCCATTTTGGAGCATCTGAACTAGTACATTTTAATGTTCTTTGTCAGAATGCGTACAATCGTATTATTGCCACGAATGACAATTCCTTCAATCTTACTGTTTAACTTGCCCCCATTCAGGACACTTAACCACCGTGCACGTCGTAAACAGACGCCGAATAGCCCACTTGTAAACTTAAACGTCACAAGCTTTTACACCATCTGCGTATGCTCAAATGCATAGTTCGATTCCTGGACAATGGAGGAAGCTTTCTTGTATAAATAATTAAATTACACGCACAGAACACCTCACTTACACGGGTTTTGTCTGTTTTTCATTTCAGCCAAAGCAAAGTTCTCTATAGAAGAGTTCAGCTTTAGCCAAACAACGTTAGAACAGGTGAGTCCCGTACAGCGTTTGCACGCGTGGGTTGTGCGCATGTGCAAAGTCCTTTCATAGCGATTGCCCAGGCTTATTCTTAGTACTACGAACCTAATTCGCGTGACGCAACCTCGGTATCGCATAGCGCGAAAGCCTGAGTGATGCCAGCCGTGAGACCAGGACAGTTGCGTGAAGCCGGCGAAAGCGGTCTCCAATGCGATTTACCTTTGCCAACGAAGTGACTTGCCAAGGCATGTTTGGTGCGAGTCCAAAGCGAACCAAGGCGTGTTTATTGCGAACCCAGAACTCATCTCGTGAATTTTTTTTTTTGCAGTAGCAATTATGTGTACACTCTAGGGCCATTTTGCTGTCGCTGTCATGTTCCGTATAATGCACAAATCCATCACATCACCCCGCGCACGTCATATGTGTTCTACGTGGGAGCGAGAGCTTGTGAAGACCGCCTACATGAAGTGCTGGCTGGTTCCGCAGGGCGAAGGAGCATGAACTACCCGTGATGGGGGAAGGGGGGGGCTGCGTCGCTAAGTTACAGGCGGCTAAATTCAATCAAGAGTGCGGTTACGCACGCTTTATATTCGCTTAGATTAGCATACAGTTCATACTATTGCACGTGCTGTGCTTTCACCGCTTACTTAACGTTCAATGACAGGTAGCGCAAAAACCAACTAGCTCCGAGGTACAGCCCATAATCTCTTACGCCAAGCTTTGTGTAGAGTTACGTGGCATCAGGTTCTGATGAAGTTAGCTGTCACTCTTTCTTGATATAACACTCCGATTAGTTGTTAGCTGCATTTATTACTTCGCACTTGCGGCGAAACTGACATTTATTTGGTGCACAACCTTGAGGATGTAATAAAGCGTCCAAAAATATTTTGCAGTAATTGTATCTTTTGATGAACTTCGTTCAAAAAATATTTTCGTATTTAAGAAATGCTTTGGCTGGTTGGTTTAGCATGATGTATGCGAGAATGGACTAAAAGCAAGAGGACGAATGAACGTGCGTTCTTCCCTCATTTTTTGTGCTCACATTCTAGACAATTTTCCACATTTAGCCGTATTGCAGTACACTCACTTTTAAACAAAAGCTCACTTTTCCGAAGGTTACGCGGAATCAGAATTTTCGCAATGACAACTAATCAACCAGCGGAAAAAATTTCAGTTGCAATGTCAACCGGGCAATTCGTAAATATGCACTAAAAATTTCGCACGAAAAATGAATTTGTTACGTTATGTGGTGCTTATACGGTACCTTTGGTGATACAAAAACATCCGAGCCTTTCTGCGGTATTCGACCCGGTTGAAAAATACGAATATATAAAAGGCACAATTTCGCTGCAAGGGCAAGACCTTGAATGCGATAGCAGCATATTGGAATGGTGTACGAAGTAAGGCTAGCAGCTCACCTCTTTAACATGCGACCTGGCGTAGCACAAGACGCTGCCGTAAGAAAACGTGATTGCTGCAGCCAGCGCAGCGTCTTTCGTGCTCCTGATCACAGCACATACGAAGATTCGTCTGCTGATTCCATGCAAGATACGTCGTGCACGACCATGCCCAGAAGACCAAAGTGCCTATTTCCTGATCGCCGCAACTTGCGACCATTGCGGCAATGTTATCGGTCTGGACTGTATACGGGACGTTACGGCGATGGCAAAATGCATGGGAGTGCCCGTATAATTGTTATCGCGATAACATATCGACCTGGGTTAATACGGAGTTTGAGAACTTGGGGTCCAAGACAATGGGTTCCCGAGCTGCGTTGCGCATGTTACTTTTGCGTTACGAGGATCAGAAGATTTCGAAATTGATCAAGTCAAAAGCAGGTTACGTTGGGTTAAACGCACAGGGCGATACATGTGGCCAAATTAAAATTATGCGAGACTCGGGCCAATCAGCACCATGGCCCACGCTGCGTGTCTTCATGGGCAACATTTGTAACGTTTCCATCAGCCTCATCAGATTCCGCAGAAAGCATGACGCAGATCGCTGACAGGACATACTCCGGTTTCTTTTTGACTCGCAGGTGTTCCTGGGATTCGCCAAAGAGCAGGAGCTCGCCCAGGAAGACGACGACGGTCAGATTCACGCCTAAAGAGTGTTTCTTCTTAGTATGTGCGCGCACCTCCACCGTCCTTCTTTTCTCCTGTGTGTCATCATTGTCACATTGACGCTGCCTATACGCTCGGGTTCGGATGCCTCATCGCTGTGTTCGTAAAGAATAAATCATGCGCATGTCCATTGCCACGACCATTCCACCATGACGGTTACTGTCGTTTCCTTCGGCAATACGGAAATCGCTAGCCCCCATAGTTATGGAATCCAGCAGCGAATCCACGGCCACCATAGCCCTCCATAAATAAAGCGACAGATTCCCAATAAAGAAAGGTGCAAAGGCAGTGAGACACGATCTCTTTAATGCTATTCACCACGTATTTACAGGAGATTTTCAGAGTCCTCGATTAAGAAGAGTTAGGAATAACAGTTATAGGAGAGTATCTTAGTAACCTGCGCTTCGCTGATGACATTGCATTGCCGAGCAACTCAGGAGAACGAATGGCAATTCATGATTACTGAATTAGACAAGGGAGCAGAAAGGTAGGTCTTACAAATTATTCTGAAGAAAAGAAAAGTAAGTTACAACAACCTCGAAAGAGAACAGCTCTTCGACCTAGGTAGAGGTGCCCTTGTAGAAGTTGCAAAAGAGTTCGTCTACTTGGGACAGGTAGCAACTGCGGAGCGGAAGCATGAGAGTGAAGTAACTGGAAGAATAAGGATAAGGTGTATCACATTCTGCAAGTATTCTCAAAGCACGACTGGTAGATTGCCACTATCTCTCAAGAGGAAGGTGTATAACAGCTGCATCTTGCCGGTACTTACCTACGAAACAGAAGCCTAGAGACTGACAAAAAGGGTTTAGCTTAAATTGAGGACGCCGCCGCAAGCGATGGAAAGGGAAACGATAGGTGTAACTTTGACAGAAAGGTGGGCCGATGAGATTGATAAGTTTGTAGGTATAACGTGGCAGCAGAAAGCAGCAAGACCGGGTCGATTGGTGGAACATGGGAGAGGACTCGCCCTGCAGTTGGTGTAGCCAGGCTGATGATGATATTGTTTGGCATTTACGTCGGTACACGTCGCCTTTTGGTGTGGCGACAATTTGCGTGGTTTGATGACTGCACGCACAACATCGCAGTTTTTCGACCGATAACGGCTGTCCAAAGCGACCAAGGTCGAATTTTATGGCGAAGGGTTTTCATCGTCCACGTGCAAAAACGAACAGACGGTTCCTTTGCTAAAGGGAACACTTGCGTGCGGGGTGTGTCGATATTTGGACCTGCTACAAAAACATGCTCGCTTAGGTTTTAACAAGACTGGTGGTTGGTAGGTAGTTAAGGCTTTCTTTGACATAGTATAGTACCATGCACAAATATTTCCACGATCACTTTCAATTAGGGGACAGGTGCTTATACGAGTGCCACTTTTAATTATAAGCGTGCGCAGAATTCCGGATTGGAGGGGGGGGCGGGTAATTGCAGCGTCCCTTCCCCTAGGTCAGCGTATGGGGCAGACTTCACGCCTGACCCTAGCTTTAGACAGGCTTGAGGAGAGGAGAAGAGCGGCTCCTTCTTCGCGTTGCCTGTTTGCCACCACCACAATTGTATTGCACGCAAAGACCAATACAAATCTCTTCCAGAACATTCGACAAACTGCATGAGATTTGACAGCTGAAAACATGGGAGATATTGCTAGGGGAAAACGGCGCCGAAACCTGCGGCGAAGGCAAGACAAGGGACGGTGATGGAACTAAAGTTAGGTTGTTGTTGCCTGTCATTCCATAAACGCCCCGTGTCTATAGCACTGTTTTGCCGTGATGACTTATTTATATCTCTGCGCAGATACTGTGTTGTATTGTGCTTAGGTCTACTTGCGCGAAGCTTCTGTAACTATCGCATTTCAAGTGCCCTGTCCATCCTTCCTATCACCGTCCCGCTATCAAGCACTCTTTTCCCTGTTGTCACTAATTCATTCCTTAGCGGCGGAGTCGCGACAACCTATTCCGTCTTCTCGCTTCGACTTTGAGAGCACCGCACTGCCGTCACCATGCATATGTAAAGAGATCTTTAGCAAAGTTGAGCCTCCTACCAACTTCGCATCGTTCTCTTGTAACGTCACATGACGAAACATGCCTCTGATAATGACGTCTACCCGCCAATGGGGCACAATCAGCATTTAAATAAATATTTGAGAAGCATTCACTTTGATAAGGCGACGTGGAGATGTCAAAGAATTTCAAACCATTGACGATGACACACGCTCCAACGTAATCCTAAACCTATGTTCAGAAAGTCGCCTTAGAATTTAGCGTATGCTTACTTACGTTTGCCGTTGCAGCGGCGTGAGTTTTAAATGCGAAGCATTTCTTAGCTAACTTCGGCGACTTTGAGCGTATCCATCCATCCATCCATCCATCCATCCATCCATCCATCCATCCATCCATCCATCTATCCATCCATCCATCCATCCGTCCGTCCGTCCGTCCGTCCGTCCGTCCGTCCGTCCGTCCGTCCGTCCATCCATCCATCCATCCATCCATCCATCCATCCATCTATCTATCTATCTATCTATCTATCTATCTATCTATCTATCTATCTATATATCTATCTATCTATCTATCTATCTATCTATCTGCCTACGCCTTTTAGCTCTCCTAGACGTTTCGATAATGGTATCGAACCAAACTTGGTATAGCATAACATCACTGTATGAAGAACATATTTGACTACTCATAACATGAAAATTGTGACATGTATGTCATGAATGTCATAATTTACATTTAATGGTCCTGCAGCTCTTGTGGTGGTTTCATTCACATGGCATGTCGCAAAACTGGTATGGTATGACATAATTGCATGGCGAACACAAGCGACAGACCTTAACATGATAATCATGAGATGCGTGTCATGTAAAAACATGCCTACATGCCACGCTCATGATGCGCTGGCGGCCGTTTCGCCCGCTTCACTTTACCAAATTTGGTATTACGGAACGTGAATGGATGAAAGAGGTATAATACTGGTGCAAACATGATAAACATGAGATGTGTGTCATGTAACAACATGACTACATGCGACACTCATGAGTGCTCGCGGCCGTTTTGCTAGCTTCGCACAAGCCAAATTTGGTATTACGGGACGCCAATGAATGACGAAGGTATGTGACTGGTGCAACCATAATAATCTTGAGAAGCGTGTCATGTGAGAACATCACTACATGCCACCGTCAGGCGCCAATACATTTCGACATGACGCGGTGCGCGTGCTCGCCGGCGTTCATTTCGTCGCGTCACGCCGCCGTTGCTACGCCAGGCGCCGGTCCTGCCGTATACTCGCAGGTGCACGCCGTGCTGCGTTGCTTTGACGCATGCACGTTTCAGCACGTCTGGCGTCCCTCTGTCACGAAAAGAGGGAGACGCAGCGTTGTCTTGGTAACGCATCGGCCCAGAACAATGTTACTCTATGGCATCGGCGTGAAATGCAGCATGTTGCATTTTGCACCGGTTGCCGTCGGGCCGTACCGACGGACGCTGGCCGCGCCTGGCGTCAGACTGTAGAGAGCTCGCGTTTTGCTAACGTATAGCGCCGCTGTGCCCAGCGTGCACGCGTGTCAACGCTACATTGGAGTATATTGGGCCCTTCGTGATGCGCTCGCAGCCGTTTTGATAGCTCCACATATACCAAATTTGGTGTCACGCGACGTCAAGGAATGACAAAATATATGACTAGTGCAAACATGACAATCCTGACACGCGTGTCATGTAAGAACATAACTACATACCACGCTCATAGCGCGCTCGCGGCCGTTTCGCTAGCTCGACCTATACTAAGTTTGGTATCACGTGACGTGAATAGAACGATGGTAAATGACACATCCAAACATATTTACCTCCACCTCGTAACAGTGTGCCGATTTAAAGTGGAATATCAACATTTCTCAATCATGCATCGAATTGCATCAATTCCCGCTGTACGTGGGATCTGCCAATTTTTTGGCATGTGAAATATGTCACCTTAACTGGTGCTTGCCGCCAGTTTCCTCCATTTTTCATGGCCCATTGGTGCCTAATGGTGTTGCCCGATTTCTGTGGGACGTACACACTATATATGGTCCGCTGTTTAAGGCATAGTCGTAGGGCGCGAGGCCAGAATTTTTTTTTTTTTTGAGGTGAAGAAAGGCCGGACAGACAAATGGTCATTTTGCACACTGTGTGTTACGACGAACAACTTTGGGGATGGCACCCGGGGTGCGACCCCCGGCAACATCACTGCACGGGGGTGTGGGGTGGCAACGGCCGCCCCTGCATGACTTGGTGTTCGAGTGGTTACCGCACTTGTCGGTAACGACCTTGCTGACGGTGCTGCTCGATCCTCCCACGAAAACACCCAGGCAACCCCAATGACCCTGTCGCGAACCGACGCTGCAAGGGGCCTTCATTCGTTCGCTGGCACAATGTCGGAAACTTGAGTGACCCCAGTGTCGGGAACCGCCGCCTACATAAATGGGACCCATCTAGAAAGCTTCAAGTTCCATCTGACCATCTCCCGCCGGGATGCAACTTCACTGTGCCGCCAGTGGTTAGGGGTACCTTTCACGAATGCGTACTTTTTTCGCATAGGAATGGCAGATACATCCAGGTGCGACTGGTGCGATAGCGACGAGACAATAGAACATTACTGCATTCATTCTGATCGTTTTGCGAGCGAAAGCTACGTGCTACACAAAACGTTAAAAGATAATAAACTTTTTCCGAAGAGAAAATCTTAGGTTCATGGCTCTACGCGTCACAGGCCAGCAAAGCGATGCGGGCATTGCTAGGTTTCTTGAAGTCGACCGGACTAAATGATTACTTATAACCGTGCAATGGACAGGCGTACATGTATACCCACACGGTGCCATACCTCTCCTCTTTCTTCTTTTTAATCCCCTCACCCCTTCCCCCGTGTAGGGTAGCAAACCACGGACGTGCGTCTGGTTGACCCTTCCTCCTAATCGCGTCCCAACACCATGATGTGTGTATGCACGTGCCTAGGGTTGCTGCACCAAAGACGAGCAACCCCCTCTTCAATTGCACAGATCTATGGCATGGCAGATCTATGGCATGACAACTAGCGAAAAGAAAGGCTTGTGTTTTGCTTAGATCTATTACATCTTCGTGTACATCTTCGTATTACATTCGTATTACATCACTGGAAAGTGAG